AGGCGGCCGGCGTTGAGGTTGGGGGTGAGGCAGCGTGGGGGGCTGCGCTTCCCAACCTCGGGGCTCCCTCCCACCAGCCAGGGCCTCCTGTCCCCCCCACGGGCAAACAGCGGGGGCGAGGCAGCGCAGCCTTCCTCAGGGTGGAAGCGGACAGGTCCCCCCGCCTGGGCCATCCTGCCAGAGGAGGACGCAGAGGCGTCAGGTTCGGAGCCTGGCAAGGAGGCACAGGGATGGTGAGGCAGGTTTCTGGCACCCCTGAGATGACAGCCGGGTCAAGGGGTGACACATCCTCAGGCAGCCCTGAAACAAGGGCGAGGAGAGCTGGTTAGGGAAGGGAGGACACAGGGAGTCCCAGGGTCATGAGAACAGCAAAAAGATGCCCTGTCCTCATGGCAGGAGAAAGAGATGCTCCAGGTAGGACAGCTCCCTTCAAAACCTCTTCTGCTGCAAGAAGAAGGCAAGTCTTGTGGTGGGTATCGCACCAGCAGCACTGGGGGGAAACTGGCAGCCCTTTGCTTGGCCTCAAGGCCCCTTGGGGTGTTTGCTCTCTTCCTAGGGTGCCAGGATGCTCAGACCAGCACCTCAGACTCCGTGGAAGAGCACACTGTGCACTCTTGAAATGGATTTAACATATTTACTACCCACAGCCTACTAAAATAACTTCATTAAGGGGGGAAGGAAATTATATACTGGATCACCAAGACATCCTCCAATTATACTTTCTCAAGGAGTTTAACATAACCAGCATGGGCAAGAAGCCTCTCTCTTTGGAGGTCAGCCTGGGTTTAAAGTGTGTCATACCAGCATATGCAGCAGCCACTATCGGTGGCACAGACAGAGCTGTCAACGCTCGCAGAGCCAAAAATCAGCGGTTATGACAATCCTGCCCTGGGGAAACAGAGCACACCTGGCCGTTCCACAGCTCGTCTGCCTGCCTCTGCACAGAGATGTTTACCTGGAGGTGACATTAGCCACCCCAAAGTGGCAGGTGGGCGGCTACAGGGGAAGGCAGGACCCCAAGCCCCCATTGGTGCCACTGGCAGGACTGCCAACAGCTTTCTTTCTGCAAGTGGACCTAAAATTCATTATTATCCTTCCCTGAGTTTCTTTGAATTCCTGGAATGCAGAGAAGACTGCTTTGGCTGCTTTTGCTTTCTGACGGATGCTGAGATACTAAGTCCCTCACTTAGATCACATAATTTGAAAGTGAGAAACCAAATGCCAGTTGCAAATGGAGGAAAGCATGATTTCCTCTCCCTTTTTCCAAGTATCAACCAAATAGGAATACATTCCTGAAGGATGTGGGGCTGAATTTTTTACAGTGTTTAGGATCCAGGGATGTAGAGACATAACTCTTTACAAAATAGCCCAAATCACCCCTGTGGGGCAAGTGCCAGTCTATCTGCACTATCACACTGCTGAAAAATCTGGCTCCTGCTGAGCAGCAGCAATCTGAAATTGACCCACTGCAAAAAAAAAAGCCAAAAAACATAGTCCTGTTTAATATGTTAGTTAGTGGTTTTACAAGCTATTTCCCCTGTTATGGCTGTGTTCACATTCAAGGTTGCTGAAGTTAACTGATAAATAATGAGGATGTGGGATTTATATATTTGAAATGAAATTCCACTTTTTATCTCAACGCAGACTGACACACATGCCAAGGAAAAAAGTTATCACTAGAAATAGTTGGCATTCACTGTAACATAACAAATCTATTAAAAAAACCCTCAGCCTATCTCAATACTTGTGAGTTACTGCTAAAATAAAGGGGATAAGCACAGCATGTCCTCCTGGTTATCAAAGGAGAATTACCAAATCCAGAGCAAAGGCCATGCCCGCCTGCAAGCCACCAAAGCCAGACAGCTACAACATTCAGCACAGTGAGCTGTTCTTTAATCATGAAAGGTAAAAAGGCATAAATGCAACAGAGGTGAAAAATCAATGACAGAACTAAAACTTCCTGCTTGCTGATCGTAATCTTTAATCAAATTGATGCTCTTTAAATCACTGTGATTAATAGGTTGGGCTGTAAGGCACTGGTGGACTGGAGAAAGCCTTGCTGGCCTCATTGCCTGAAGGCAGAAGAAATCCTGCAAAAGGAAAGCTCCAGGGAAGCTGACCGGGCAGCCCAGGGCATCTGTTCAAAGAGAAAAACTCGAGAGCTGCAATGTGATAGCCAGGGGCTGCACACCAATGGGGGATTTAATTTGCTCAATAAAACATCTCACACATACAAGGAACTTGCTCCTCCTGGCTGTCTTCTTAGCAGCAAAAGGGATGTCCAAGGATTTTTCCCAGCTCTTGCTGTGAGCTGTACCCGGTGCAACAGGGGATGGTTATTCCCCGTGCAGACGCTTGCCTTGCTGAGCAGGGCGATGTGGGGTGAAGGCAGCAGACAGCAGGAACTGCTTACGCTGCGGGGGAGAGCACACCCACACCGAGGATGTGTGGGGACAAGGCTGGGGGAGGATGCAAAGGGAACGGGCAAAGAACGCGACAGGGATGGGAGGGAATCAAGAGGTACAGGGCTGGGGGCTGAATTCAGAGGATGGGCCGTGTCTGTGTGCCGGACATGGTACCACTGTCAGCAGTGGCAGCAGGGGATGAGGGAAACCGGACTGTGCCCGGCCATCCGACAGAGCTGCGGCAGGATGGCACCCAGGAGGTGCATCTGCGCTCTGGAGGGACACAGAACAGTTCCAGGGGTTTATGGGTGACCGAGTAGGGGTCCCCGGCAGCCCCCAGGCTGTGGGGCGAAGAAAGGACCCCTTCCTGACGGAGCGTGCGGGCGGAGACGTGCCACCCTCCAAGATGGGGCTGGCCTGCCTTCCCTCCCGAGCCCACCCAGCCTGGCCTCCCGTCTCGGCGGGATCAGCCCTGAGTGGATGTGACATCCATCCGGATGAGGAGGGAGCCCCCCCCGGCCAGGAGGGCCGGCGAAGCCGCCCGCTCCCCCCGCGGAGCCGCCC